AAAAAATAACAAGATCATGGMATTTGCAGGCAAATGGATGGCATTAGAACAGATTATGCTAAGTGAAGTTAGCCAATCCCTAAAAAACAAATACTGAATGTCTTCTCTGATATAAGGGGGGTGACTCAAAATGGGATAGGGAGGAAGAGCATGAGAAGAAGACTATCACTAAATAGGGAAGAGAGGTGGGAGGGAAAAAGAGGGAGAAGGGGAGTTGCATGGAAGATGGAAGTAGAACCTCATTGTTATACAGAATACGTATATGATGTTGTAATGATAAAAAGAAAAAAAAAGTGTCACATTAGATTGGATAGAGGGAAAAGATGGGAGAGGAGGGGAGGAGTAGGGAGGATAGGAAGGGCAGCAGAATAGAATAGACAATATGATTGATGTATGTACATTTCATGTATGTATTATATGTCAAAATACATTCTGCTGTCATGTATGACTAAAAAAAATTTWAAAAAATTGAGATAGTCTTGCTAAGTTGCTTAGGGCCTCTTGAAGGTGTAGAGGCTGGCCTTGAACTTGCAGTAAGTCCTCCTGTCTCAGCCCCCCAAATTGCTGGGATTTCAGGCAGCTGCTACTGTATAGAAGGTACTTCAGTTTGATTTGTCTGATTTCTTTGGTGATTAACCTGGCATTATGAATTTTGGAGATGAAAACCAAGAGAGCTGAAGTATCATCTTCATCATATTGTATTAAAGGATATAAGTTAGGAATAAGACATATCAGTGTTGATGTTGACATTGATCATTTATTTTGGCTAATGTACTATTTATCAGGTTTCTCCACTTTCAATTTTTTTTCCCCTTTTGGTTGTCTTTTTTTTTTTTTTTTAAAACAAGTTACCAAGTCTAGTCCATACTCATGGGAAGGAGAATTAAGTTCTCTCTTATAGGAAGGAATGTGTGACTGCTATTTGAARTTTTCCTATGAAAATTTCTCTGTATTTATTTTAATTGTGGGATTATAATCCAATGCTATTCTCATTTTTTACTAAAATTGTGCCAATTTTGCTAGACTTTTGGGGAGTTCTTTCAGGTTGGTTCCTCAACTCATCTGATGTTGCGTTGCAGCCCCCTACCCCCTTCCTTTTTTTTTTTTTTTTTTTCTTTTTAAAGCACTTTCTTATATTCTGGCACTATAAGATATACCAGTTTCAACTTGTATTTTTCCTGCCTCTCCCTTAAAATCAGGCATTTTCCCCATTAAGATCTCTGATTCCTTTATTGGAGAAAATGGTATATAAAATCCAAGATTGGATTGTGGGCATGCTTGTTGCTACTGGGGTATTGCTGCTTCTGGATCCTCTTATAGGACAAAGTCCTAGCCATTTATACTAATGTTATAACACATCTATATTTACATCTGACCATCTGTATGTATATACTAAATAAACATGAGTTCATATTGATATCTCTGACTCTAATTCAGCACTACAGAGAATAATTAGCTTTCCATTCTTGCTTATTTGTGACTTCTTTCTCCAACAAATCTTGTTCTCATTATCTACTATTATTTATTTATATTTTTAACACAGTATATACGTAAAGAAGTTTAATATTAGGTCATGATAAGTTGTTTCCTCCTGTTTCATGGTATTTTTGGTTGTGAAATCATATTTGAAATTAATTTTTGAGACTTGCATTTATGTTTTATGTATTTTAAGAGAAAATTTGTTTGCTTATGTAAGTCACATTGAGTCTTCCCACTCCTTTAAGAAGAGTTTTTTTTTGTAATAAAATTACAATTATGCCTACTTTTATTTCTGTTCTATTTTCTGTCTCATAAGTTTGCTTATTCCAGCTATCTTAGATAAGTGGAATAATACAGTATTTGTCTTTTGTTTCTTGCCTGTTTGAGTAGTGTTTTCAAGTTTCATCTAAGTCGTAGCATATATCCAAATTTCATTCTTTCAGGAGCTGAATAATACTACAGAGTGTGTATGTATGTATACATACACCATATTTTATTTATCTGTTCTCTTAGGAATAGACATTTGGATTGTTTGCACCTTTTCACTTATTATAAATGCTTCTGTGAAGGTTGGTGCACAAGTGAATCCATATTTTCAGTTATTTTTGAGTATATGCCCAGAAGTGGAATTGCTGGATTATGTAGCTGATTTACTTATTTTTTCCCTGGTGGTACTGGATATTGAATCCAGAGCACCTTGCCACTGAGCTTTACCCCAGCACTTTTTTTTTTTTTTTTTTTGAGACAGAGTCTCACCAAGTTGCTGAGTCCTGCCTCAACTTCCAGACTTACTGGGATTAAAAGTGGCATCACTCCATCTTGCATGGGTGTTTAACTCTTTGAGAAACAGCCAGACTTTTTCCACAGTGACTGTACTATTTTACATTTCCACCAGCAATGCACTGGAGTTCCAGCTCACTACTTTACATTAAAATAATAATAATAATAATAATAATAATAATAGCAGCTATCCTAATGGGTGGGAAGTAGTTTCCCATTATGGTTTTAATCTGCATTTCAGTGATGGCTAATGATGTTTTCATGTGAGGTTTTACTTATTTTTGGAATTATTTCTTTAACCAGAACATTTTATTRCTTGACTAGTTGTTGAGATTCTCAACATGAACTGGATATTTCAGTAGCTGCCCTCACAGATTTAGGTGTTCTTTAATGGAGTCTCTGCCTTAATCTGTGGCATATGATTTTTAGGTGCCTCATTTGAATAGTATTATTTTGTTCTTTTAGCCTTGACATACAGTTATATTTTCTCTTGTGCCTAGTAGGGTAGCCATATATACCACAGGTCAATTTCTGAAGGTGGTAGGCCTTAGAGCAACTGCAGTGGCAGTGTGGGTATCTTAATTGCTTTCCAGGTGATGACATTCCCTTCATTATCATCCTTTGCTTTTTGAAACAAAGGAGAGGCTATTTTAATTATGTACTTTGCTGGGCCATGTAGGTTGTGAAATTCTGGCCTCAAACCTTAATAATTATGTACTTATGATTAGGAATTCCCTAATGGTTTTAGTTCATTTGGGTTGCTATTAACAAAGTACTATAGATTTAAACTATATATATAAAGTTCTGAAGGTTGGAAAGTCAGATTAAGGTATCCAGATGCAGTATTTGATAAGGGCTTGCTTTCTTTATAGATGTGTTCTGACTATTCTGTGGTTGAAGGGCAAACAAACTCCCTTATGTCTCTCTTTTTTTAAAAAAATAAGGACATTAATCACATTTATGATGGCTCTACCCTATGCCTTCTAAAGGCCCTCCCTCTTTTTCTTTTTTTAATTTTTAGTTTTAAATGAACACAATACTTTTATTAATTTATTTTTATGTGGTGCTGAGGATGAACCCAGTGCCTCACGTGTGCTTTACTCCAGCCCAGGCCTTCCTTTTAATACCATCACCTTGGGGTTGGGATTTCAACATCTGAACATTTATGCTATAACACTGACTGTGAGGTAGACACACAGATAATTTATTTGTCTTTAGTTCAATTCAGAACCCTAGAGTCAAGGATCAAACATTACAATTATTCTTTAGTGAATCCCTTTTTTCTCTTTTTTTCCCCCGGCTCACCTCGTTGGAGTGTTATCCTCCCGGTTTTGTTTTTTAACCTTATGTGTCATTGTGCTAAAATTCTGAAATTAATCTCCTTAAAGCATAGGCTCTAGGACATCAGGCTTTTTTTTTGTCATGGCTCCAAGACATATGCCAGCTTTGGAACTTTATTTATCTTTCTGGATTCCTACTTTTTAGTTATTTATGACTTCAGGGGGGTTCAGCTATATGCTTACTGTTTTTTTTTTTTTTTTTTTTTTTTTAACATACGAGCATTTTTGGTATTCTGATTTGAAGTTTTTCTGGACATCGAATTAACCATCTTGCCAACACAGGAAACCTTGTTTTATTTTTCTTCTGTTAAAAGCAGAGATGATGGAACTTAAGGAAAAGGCTAGAGGTTTGGATATAGTTCTCATGAGTAAAGCAAGCAAACTATTTTTAAATTAGTCATTAATTTCTAGAATTGGTGGTCAAAGGAGACTTAGGGATGATTTTATACATTTGTACATATTCATGTGCTTCTCCCCATTTTTATTATATCTTACTAATTTGAGCTTCTTTGTGTAGCAGATACATATAATAATTAGAAAAAAAGAACATTTTAATGTGTTTTCTCTTTGGAGAAAATAAGATGTTTACAAAAAATAGTTTAAAAAAGAAGAAGAAGAAGAAGAAGAAGGGCTCAGGATATAGCTCAGTTGGTAGAGAGCTTGCCTTGCATGCACAAGGCCCTTGGATCAATCCCAGCACCACCAAAAAACAAACAAATAAAGAAACAACAACAACAAAAAAAACCACCACCACCACCAACAACAACAACAAAAAAAAACCACAAGAAATTTTAGAATAATCAAAGAGCTTGGGAAATGTTCAGATTTGTTTTGTATTGAATAGCTCTATTAATAAATACTTATTTCAGTTTGTTTTTATTTCAGCTTTGGCTAGATCAGAGTCTAAGAGAGATGGAGGTTTTAAAAATAATTGGAGCTTTGATCATGAAGAAGAAAGTGAAGGAGATACAGATAAAGAGTAAGGACTTTTTTCCCTCAGATATTTTATAAGAATGAAATTTTCTCATTAGAAAATGAACATTCAATGGAAAGATTTTWAAGAGTATGGTGTTTACTTGAAACATTTAACTCAGTAACATTAAGGAAAGACAAAGCAATTCTTTATTGGTAAATAATTTTACTGTTACATTTGTCAGTCTTTTGAAATTCTTTTGAAATATAGAAATATGTGAATATAATATATGTAACCTCATGATTAAAAACTGATCATGCAATAGAAGTTTTCAGATTAAGAAAATTATTCTTAAAGAATAGGTACGCTGGGCAGCAATTTGAAGAGCCACCATTTGTCATGAGTGAGCCCAGATTAAGAACCTTGAATTTTGTATGAAAGCTTTAAGTCCTAAAGTTTCTTTCTTTTCCCTTTGTGACCCTACCACTACCACATTCATTGTAGATCATATTTCACTTGAGAAAGTAGTGCCATTGTAAATGATAAGCACAGATATTTACCCAGGCAGAAGTTTAAGCAGAGTGTCCATTAGACTTTATTAGTGTACTTGGAATGAATGCTGTGTAAAGATTTTAAATTAAGCCAGGTGTGGTGACTCATGCCTGTAATCCCAGCAGTTTGGGAGGCTGAGGTAAGATGATCATGAGTTCAAAGCCATCCTCAGCAATTTAGTGAGGCCCTAAGCAATTTAGGGAGACCCTGTCTCTAAATAAAATATTTTAAAAGGGGCTGGTGTTGTTGCTCAATGGTTAAGCAACCCTGGATTAGATCCCCAGTACCAAAATAAATACTTGTTTTAAATTTTAGTTTTATTAGTACTTTTAGCACATCATGAGATTTGTTTTGCACATTTGATGCTGTTTTTATTTCTTGATCTTATTGCCCTTGTGTCCCACTGGTTAAAAGAAAGAAATTCTGGTACACATGAGTATACACACACAGTTCTACCAAAACTATTTTTTGGAAATCTTGATGCAAAAATTATGTTGGCTAAATATTGTAGGTGCTTTATTTCTRTCTGGGAAATAGCTCTGTTCATTATTACCACATTATGTGCCTTCAAGTTATATTTGAAGAAGAGCTTTGAACTGGTTAAGTTTCTTAAAGTCAGTTTTTTATGGTCTTTTTTTTTGTCTTGTTTTGTCTTCTGATTAATTTTCAATTTAAATTTTCTTCTTATAGACATTTAGTATTTACATAGTTTTGAGAAAATACAACTAAATTATGAAATTAAACTAAAGAGAAAGTATACTGCCTTTCAAACATTTTGGTTTTTAGAATTTAAAAAGTTAAATAAAATATAGCTGGGCRTGGTGGTGCATACCTGTAATCCCAGTGACTGGGGAGGCTGAGGCAGGAGGATCTTCCAAGTTTGAAATCAGCCTTAGCAACTTGGTGACACATTGTCTCAAAATAAAAAAAATAAAATAAAATAAAAAGGGCTGGGAATGTGGCTCAGTGGTTAAGCGCCACTGGGTTCAATCCCTGATTAACCTTTCCCCCAAAGTTAGGATATATATAAAAGTAATGAAGCAAAATATTTTTTTCACTCTTAGTTATAAGTAGCAAGGATTTTTTAAAAATTATAAACAGTTTAGCAGAAGAATTGTCTTTAAAAATGTATGTTAGATTTTCTTTGTTGGAAGATTTGCCATGGTTATGTGATTTAAAAAAATATTTTAAAGTGCTATACTGTGCAATTAATTTATGAATTGTACTCTGGTTCATGATGATCCTTGGGCTTCAGCTTTTTGATCATGTTACATATTGGTCTGATCTTTTAAAAATCTCAGGCCAGTGACTCTCAGTGGAGGGTTGATATTTTCAGGAGTGGTGAAATCATAAATATTTCACTGTGGCAGAAGCATTGAAATTAAATTTTTTTCATTAGTTGATTTTTTTTTCCTTTGACAGTGTTTCTTCCTCTGCATTTTGTTTCTCTGTTCTTATTCCCTAAATGTCAATCCAAGAGAGAAAGGAAAAATGAATGAGAATATATAAAATTCATTATTAAAAAAAACCCACAAGATTTTCTGTTCATTTATAGTAGGAATCAATAATTCATGACCTATAGTTTCAATCTTGCCCACTACCTGATTTTGTTAATAATTTTATTGCTACACAGCTACTTATGTAGTTTATGACTTATTTTCATACTACAGTGGCAAAGATGAGTAGTTGCTACAGAGTCTATATAGCCTGCAGAGCCTAAAATATTTTACTGTTTACGAAAAAAGTTTTATGATTCTCTGGATTAGGAGAACATAAAGAATAAACCTTTTAATTTAATTTAATGTTTGGATTATAATTGTTACTTAAAGTATTTCCCCCTTATTTTCTGTGTAGTCGGGCAAATCTACTCAGTGTAGAAGAAGATGAGGATTCTGAAACCTCAAAAGGAAAAAAGGCAAGTGTTGCTTTTAAATTTCTTTTCTTTTAGGTTATATACTAAAAGCTGTTACTTTAATTAAAAGACTTATTTGTTTGGTGAACTTCAAAATCCCCACTTCCCACCCCAGAGGCAAATAGGTATTCTTAGTTTCTTGTTTATCCCTATGGAAATGTGCGCTAGTCGGCTTTTTATTAAAATAACAAAATATCTGAGATAATCAAGTTAATAAGCAAAAAGGGTTATTTGGTTCATGATTTTGGAGGTTTTATACCATGATTGCTTGGCCTTGTTGCTTTGGGCCTGTGACTGCATAGTACATTGTAGCAGGAATGGATAGTAATGGAAACGGTTTTCCTCATGACAGCTGGAAAACAGTAAGAGAGAAAGAGGAGAGCCAGGATTCCATGTACCTTTCWAGGGCTTACCCCCATGACCTAACTTCCTTCCATTAGGCCCCATCTCTAAAATAGTTCACCATCTTCCAATACTACCACAGGCTGTGTCTAAGCCTATAACACATGGGCCTTTGGGGAACACTTATCCAAGCAATAGCAAAATATGTTACGCATTATAAAGATGTATATTCCTACTCTATTCTATACAGTTGTATATTCTATACAGTTGAGGAAATATTATACGTAGTTTTTCTGATCTTGCTTTAATTTAATCTGGAGACTATGCATGAGAGTTCATAAAAAGCACCCTCATTCTCTTCCATGGGTACATATTATTCAATTGTATGGGGTACCTTATTAGCACACATCATCACACATATCATCACACTTATTACAAGCTTACATTTTTTATTTCTTAAGATAATGTTGAGTAAATTAGCCTTCTATATGGGTTATTTTTCATACATGCAAGCACATCTGTAGGATGTAAGTAGAGCTGTTGTTGTCAGAGTAGGTGTGTAATGTGTGTGGGTGTGGGTGTGGTGTTCTTCCCCCACCCGGCTTTTTTTCTTTCTTTCTTCTTTTGTTTCATTTTGTTATATGCTGCTGGGGATTGATCCAAGGACTTGCTTTTAGTAAGTGCTCTGCCAYTGAGCTACATCCCAGCTCAGGACAGGTTTATTTCTAATTTTGACATACCTCATTACRCTTAGGTGGCAGTGTCTAAAAGCATCTGTTTCCCTATACTTCTCACAATGTTATCAACCTTTTAATCTTTGCCAATAGAAAATAGCATCTTAATTTGCATTTCTTTTATTGTGAAAGAAGTTGAACACTTTTTCATTTAAGTAATCCATTTTTATTTCTTTATTAGGTAATTGTCAGTTAATATCCTTTGCCTGTTTTTTTATTTGGTCTTTAGAATATTATTGAGAATTTTGGGGGCTAGGGCTGGGGCTCAGTGGTAGAGCACTTGCCTAGCATGAGTGAGGCACTGGGTTCAATCCTTAGCACCACATAAAAATTAATAAACAAAATAAAGGCATTGTGTTCATCTACAACTAAAAATTTAAAAAAAGAATTTTGTTTATAGAGACTAAGATATTATTTCCATATTTCAGCTTCTCTCAAATTTAAACGCATCTTTAGCAGCATGGGCTAGTTTAATAATTTTTTTTTTTCAGAATACTACATACAATAATGGTGCATTTTACAGTGGTTTCCAGTGCACAGGCTTTTCTCACTGTACTCTTGAGTCTCCCTGTGGTAGATTTTTGAACAAAAGAGAAGTGTGAAATATCAGCCTTTTAAAAAAAATTTATATATGACAGCAGAGAATGTATTACAAATTCTTACTATATATAAATAATTTTGTTTTTCTAAAACAAAAATAATTTGTCATCTAGTTATTGAAATAATAGGCTTTCTGAATTTTAGGGAATGATTTCATTAGGATTTGAGTGGCTAATAATTATATTTGTTACTTCTAGTTGCCACCCCACCCCTTTTTTAGGAAAACCCAATACTCTAAGAAATTATTAATTCTTATTAATACTTATTAATTTCACCTTTTTTGGGGGGGTAATTTGGGGAGTGAACCCAGGAACCACTTGCATGTTAGGAAGTGCTCTACCACTGAGCTACATCGCCAGTTTGAGGATACAGTCCTTACTATSGTTTGGTCAATACTTCCTGTAAGATATTTTATATTTTGTGGGTTTTGTATTTTATTTAAAATATTGATATTGCATGTTTAGTTCATTTAGCTTATGCAGAATGTCTACATAAAATTATTTAACGAGGTCAGTTACATTGTCCCACCATTCTTATATCTGTAAAGGTCTATTGTCATTTTTTCACTTCATTTATATTTCATTTATGTATTTATTAAATGTAAATGTGCATCTTTACAATAATTGTTTCACTTCAGAATTCTAAGAATAATACAGTGTTGGTTTTGAGTTGAATTTGTTACCTGGTTGTGATAAGACACAGCAGATTTCAGTATTTTTTAAAAACATTTTTTATACTATGTTGTCTTTGAATCCTTTTCCTTTGATTTTCCCCTTGAGCAATATTTTTCTGAATATAGTCAGTAAATGCAAATTTTCATAACTTTTGCTTTTCCATTTTGCAATAACCCAATAAAAATCCTACTTTGGCCTAATATATCCAGTTTCTAACTCATCCTTCGAAGACCTTTGATAAAAGTGTTCTTAAAACAAGGAAAGAACCAACATCCTGCCATTATTTTACTTACTAAAAGAGAGTTCACATACCCTAGTATTTCAAATTATTTCTTGCAGAAATTTTTTTTAGATCCTAATACAGTAGAGAATTATATCTTTCTTTTGTAAAGTAGAAAAAGGAACTATTGTGAAAAGGGAAATGGGAAAGACCTATTATATTAGTACCTTTCTCAAGATGATTTTAAAAGTAATTCAGTTTTAAGGAAATGTGAAACTATAGATTGAGATTTAGAAATTGATTTCCTTAAAACTGTCCATAACTGTTTATCCTTTAGAAAGTTGTTGTGTGTTGGGGCTGAGACTTTGGCTCAGCAGTAGCACACTTGCCTGGCATGTGCGAGGCACTGGGTTCAATTCTCAGTATCACATGTAAATAAAAAATAAAGGTTTATCAATAACTAATATATATGTGTGTGTATATATATATATACGTATATATATATATATATGTATATATATATATTATATATAAAATAAAGTTTAAAAAGTTGTTATGTATCCCAGGAGTTTACATATCCTAAGATTTTGAATGGCTTGTGGTAATAAGAAGGTCTGTATGGATCCTTACTTGAAACCAATTTCTATTTCTATTGGAAAAAGTTTGTAATTCTGATGGAATTAGGAAAGACCTTTTATTTTTGTTCATAGTGTCTTGATATGTTGATATGCTTTTTTTTTTTTTTTTAACAGAATAATCTCTTTGCCTTTGGGCTTTGGTCTTGAATAGTTTCACTGGTCCTCTATAAAAAGACTTATGTCTTGAAGTTGAGCTATTATCTCCACGGATATTGCCTTTCTACATTATTCTTTTGGGGATTCTTAGTAGACAGCAGACTATTGTTTTTTTCATATCCTTTATCCTGCGTTTTAAGTTTAATAGAAAAAAAAATAAACAAGAAAAACATCACTTTTATATTCTAGGTAATGTTCTTGGTTCTTTTTTCCAAATCACTCATTCTTTTTTTTTTTTTTTTT